CGTTGATTCTCGAATCTGGATCAACAAAATCTCCAATGTTAAAACAAATAACAATGGAGATAATGGACATCCTTGTCTTGTTCCTTTTTCAATATTAAAAGTCTCAGTCAGTCCCCTATTAACAACAATTTGAGCAGATTGTTGCTGATATATAGCTTTAAGCGCATGTAAAAACTTAACCCCAAAATTCATTTTCTCTACCATTGAGAATAAGAATTGCCAATCTAATTGATCAAAGGCTTTTTCAGCATCCAAAAATATAAAAGCCACAGGAATCTGATTATTCTTATCCAGATACTCAATTAAATTAATAATTTGTCTTACATTATATTTCATATATCGCCCTGTTATAAATCCTGATTGATCACTGTGGATCAAATTCTTCATAACCTGCATTAATCTATTTGCCAAAATTTTAGTGAAAATCTTATAATCTACATTTAACAAAGATATTGGCCTGTAATTCTTAGGTTCTGTAAGATCTCGATCCTCCTTCAGAATCAATGATATAAATGCTCTTTTCCAAGAAGGGGGGACTTGTGCTCCCAACAAAATACTATTAAAGAGCTCCTTTAATGGCTCCATCATTTCTTCAGATAAGATTTTATAATACGTCAACGTCAATCCATCTGTTCCTGGAGACTTTCCCACCTTTAACTGCTTAATAGCTAAACCAATTTCCTCCACAGTAATTAATTAAACAATTCATCCCATTTTGCTGTTCCTCAGAAAGTTTAGGAAAATGTGCTGATTGTAAATATTTATCTATATCCATTCCCTTTATATTATCACTTGAGTATAATTTTGTATAAAAATCTAAAAAACTCTTTTTAATCAAGTTTTGCTGAAAAACCTCAGTACCTTTATATTTTACTTTCTCTATAATCCTAGCCTTCTGTTTCTTTCATAACTGATAAACCAGCCACTTTCCAGGCTTATTCGCATTACAAAAAGTATTATGTCTCATATAACGCAAATTGTTAGCCACCTGATCTGCCATCAACATATTAAATTGTTCCCTAAGCATTTTTATAAAAACCTTTAAGTTATTATCAGTTGGGTTAAGAACAAGCGCTTCTTCTTTTAATTTAATCTCTTCTTCTATTTCTCTACGTCTCTGTGATCTTTTATCCCTAGAAACTTTATTTAAATGAATCAAAATTCCCCTCATATACACCTTACTGGCGTCCCAGACCGTGGGCATCGATGTACCCTTATTCATATTTAAAGCAAAAAACTCCTTTAAATACTCTTTACATTTTTGTACAAACTCTTCCCGAGTAAACAAATTCTCATTCAGCCTCCAGGGTCTTCTATTCCCATCTTCCAAATGTAACTCCATCCACACAGGACCATGATCTGACGAAGTCCTGGGAAAGATTCTTACTTTCCTCACCCTAGAAAGAAAATCACTAGTAATCAAAAAGAAGTCAATCCTTGAAAATGACTGGTGTCTATCCGAGTAAAAAGTAAAATCTCTATCACTTATATTCCTTTCTCACCAAATATCAATAAGTTCCAGCTCTTCTTTCAAATCAAAAAAAGTTTTGGGTAATTTAGTCTGAATAAAAGTTTTAGAAGAACTCTTTTTATCTATCGTTGAATCCAAAACTCCATTCCAGTCACCCATCAAAATTACAGATTTGTAGTCCAGCTGAGATACCTTCCCATGCAAAAGCTTATAGAATTGCTTCTGTTGTTGATTAGGGGCATATAGTCCAACAATAAGAACTTTCTTGCCTTGTAATAGTAATTCCACAAAAACATATCTTCCTTCAGAGTCAGCCTCAATTAGTTTAGCCAATAAATTTTTCTTCACATAAATTACAACACCCCCTTTTTTCCCTGGAGCTGGAGCCATAAAATGTGGTCCCAAACGAAAATTTGTCAAATATTTTGAGTCCTTTGAAGTTATATGAATCTCTTGCAAACATATTAAATCATTATTATGTTGTTTCAAATAGTGGAAAAGCTTTCTCCGTTTCTGTGGTGAATTTAAGCCGTTAACATTCCAGGCCAAGAACTTGGCCATCTCCACCAGACTGAAGCCTCTGAAGCATGGCCTGAAGATCAACTGTTGAAGATCTCTTAGGTCTTGCCCCTCCCACAGGCTCTGTGGTAACCGTTCCTTCTACTTTATCACCACTCTTCTGCTGCAACTCTTTTTCTTTACGTTTGTGGGCAGCTCGTGTCATCCTTTGATCTTTTATCTCAAAATTCTGTACAGGCAACACTGCTTGTTCCATGACCATCAGTGAGGAGGCTGCTGCCATAACAGGCTCTTCAATTATCCTTGTTTGTGGGGGTGAAGACGGTCTTGCCTTTAGAATAGAGTGATAAAAATCTCTTGCCTTTGAAACTGTAGTTAATCTGTAACGTGTCCCATCATAATTCACCACTATTCCTCTTGGAATCTCCCATCTGAACTGAATTTGGCGACGTGTTAACTCATCAGACAGAAAAGTGAAATCTTTTCTGCCTCTTAAAATTTTTGGAGGTATTTCTTTTAAAATTATCACATCTTGAGCTGCAATTTGAAACCTCTGTTTATAAAAAGCCTGTATAATTTCATTGTGAATAGATCTTCTGTAAAAATAAATAACCACATCTCTTGGTAGATTTCTCTGTCTAGCAACCCATGAGTTAACTCTAAAAAATTTTTCTATCTCATTCCCAACTACTTCTGGTCTCCATCCAAGGTTAAAAGCAATATCTTTAACAATAAGCATCTTTAAATCTTCCTGGGAGTTTTCTTTCAATCCCCTGATACGCAATGCAAACTCCATTTCTCTGTATTGTGAGATAGTTTGTTCATCCTGTGTAATTTCTATCTTATTCTCCACCTCCTCCATTCTAAATTCCAGTCTTGCTGCATTTTCAGTAATCTCCTCCATTTTATCATCAATCCTTTCAATATGCAGAGCAAGACCTTGAAACGCAAATAATATGTCATCTCTGACTTGTTTATTTTTTTTCTCCAATAATTCTTCTGTAATAGCCCTCTCTGCAATTAAAAGATCTTTTATCTCCTCTTTAATATCCAAAGCATTCATTTTTAAAGCCTCTTGTAAGTCTTTAAGAGAAATTGCAGGAGGAGGGGAGGGTGAGGGTGATTTTGGTTTAGACTGAGAAGCAGGTTGAATCATTGGTGAAGAGATAGAAGCTTTAGGGACAGAGACCAAAGGTTTTGAAGCCATTCTCTTAAATTCAAAGGAGCAAAATTCTTGCCTCTATAATAGCACAGTTCTTTAAATAATAATAAAAAAAGAAAAAGAGAAAAAAGAAACAAGATTCTTGCCTCTATATTTAAAACATGAACTGTATCCAACTTTTAACTTTGTTGCAAAATCAAACAAGAAAGACAGTCGCCATTTTGCCTTTCACTTTCACTTTCTTCAAAAGGGAAAGTAAACAATAAAAAGGGGAGAAGATACTTGCAGGAGTTAAAGTCACAATCAATCTTAAATCCACTTTCTCCTGGTTTGCTCCATCTGCATTTAAGTACTCACAAGCCAGCAGAAAAAAGCAGATATGGGAGCGGCGTCTTGCTTCATCCCAGAACTTTGGGACAAAGACATCCTGGAGCGCGGAGTTGGCTCAGGCTCCGAGGGAGCTCTACCCTCCAATCCCCAAAATTATAGGGATCCAGGGGAGTTCTTTCCTCTACCTGAGCAGCTCTTCTCTTCCCTTTCTCCCAGGGAAGAGATTCAAGCTGCGGGACAGCTGATTGTCAAAGTCCCGCCGGCTTTTACACGATCCGGGAACGGGCGGCTTGATCCACCGGAAGTCTGGACAGATGGGATTAAGCATGCGGTGAGGTCTTTTTAAAGACCCATGTAAGATTCTGCTGCATAGTAATGGATGCAGCAAAGGGCATCACTTTCTGCACTGCATTTCACAGAATGGGCTGTGGCTTTTTGAATGATAAAGTTCAAAAATTTGGGGGATGAGAATCCCCCAACAATCAGAGACTTGCTCAAAGCAATTTTTAAATAGAGGCATTCATATTTGTTCAGTCTTCAGTTGGATTCCAGTATTGAGGCAGGGCATAGAAACCAGTAAAGGCCTTGTTGCTTGGACATTCTGGGATTTCTAATCCTAGCACTTCTGGAGGACACCAGGCTGGGATACCTGGTAAACGTTCTTCCCAGATACACAGCAGTAAATCAGCTCCATGCATACTTTGAAGTAGTTTATCAAATCGTTTGCAAAAAATCCAAATAAAACCTTCATGCACATAACTGTTAGAATATATTTTCTTCTAATTTTAGTATTTCAACAGATTTGATAGCACCAAATGAATTAAGAGAGAGTGCAACCATCTGGATTTGTTTTCTTTTTCTCCCTTGTTTACTTCAACTGTTAAGAAAAATAATGTTTTTTTCTTTTTTAAAAAAACAGAGCCTATTTTCAAAAGGTACCATCCTGCATTGCCAAAGTTGGAAACCTCTCCTGGTACAAGTGTGTCATCTCACAATTTCTGTTTGTAAAATTGCCTTTCATTCCTCAGATTAAATGAGACACACTTTTTTAAAAAAGGTATTCCTATCTGTACTCTCATCCCAATTAACAACGATGTTAGTGATACATGTATTTTAAGTATACTATATTTGCTTCTTAATTAGTGAATATTTATCTGTTATCAACAGTGGCTAAGACACCCTTCCTTGCTAACACATTGTGTCATAAATAATCAATGAGAGCCTATTAATATTCATGAGCTGGAATCTGTGTAGTCATGTGCACTGATGCAGAGAGAGGGGGAGTGTTGCTGCGAACTGAGATGAAACTCTGTGTATGTCTGTAGCTATACATGAGTGTAAGACTCTTAGGCAAGAAGAAGAAGAAGCACCTGCTGCTTACACAAGCTGCCCTAGCTTGTGCTTTTAACTAACAGTGGCATGCCTGTGTTTCTGCACTGGAGTGACTGATGAAAAACAGTAGACAACTCCAGAGGGTCTTTCCCTGCCACTGCATTTGGCTCTCAGCTCTTGGGAAATTAGAAGCCTTGCTTCTTCACTATTGCTTAATAGAATGGGTTGTAATCTGTGCAGTTTTCAGAAAAGGGAGGAACACTACAAATTGCTTTATGAAGTTTCTCAGGTGAGTGCAGAAGATGCTTCCAGCAGCTCCACAAAAAGAATACTGTGATTTGAAAAGCACTTAATAAAAACGAGGGATGTTTATGTTGGTCTGTTTGCATTTGCATGTTGGGGTGGTGGTGATAGTAGTTCATTTCCAGTTTTAATTGACTTCCTGCTATTTTTTTTTTTTAATCTCTTCATATGTTTGTCAATTCTTAGAGTTGTTCATTACCATCTCCATAACCTGCATAGAAAATCTTTCGTTTTGGTACGAGAATGTTCTGTCAATTGCACTTGATAAAGGTTTTGTAGCTGTGAGGATTTAAGAAGTCTGTGGTATATGCTGTTTTCAAATTATTTATGATATGTTTTATTTGAGGACCAGCTTCTACTGTTTGTGAAATCACTGCTTTTAATGAAGAACTGTCATTTAAAAAATAAATAAGATGCACCGATTGTTCTTTTCACCATTTTGAATAGGTCTTAAGTTACTTTCTCTCTGTGTGTGATGCTTTTATCAGTAATTATGCCATTTCTTTGTACAGTTTATCATTACGAGGAGAGTTTGATTTATCCTGGACTTATTTAAGTGTCTCCGCCAGCAACAGCAGTATTTCTATAATTTGCTAACATGTACTAGCTGTGGCATCAAAATAAGGAGGCAGAGAAACAGATGTGATTTTGAACAAGTGCTATTGCATCCATATTTAATTTGGGTGGATTTTGTATTGATCAGGCTTTTGCTATGAAAATTTAATAGATGAAAGTTTAGTGCTTTTCAGCATTTGTTCCTTTCCTCTTTGTCATTTGTCCTTGCTCTGACACATGTTAACAGAAGCTGAATATTTCCAGTTTTGAACTGCACCATTGATGACGGGCTCAAGACTAAGGACAAAACAGCTTAGAATATTGGTGGTCTATTGCCTCCCCCTTTTAAATTTTTCCCATTATTCACTTCACAGTGGGCTAATTAGAAAGTGGATTCTCTAAATATGGAACATCCTTTTCAGTTGTAATGTTAATGCGCATTTCCACTGTAATGTGATCAAAGCCTCATTAGCCAGTACCACAAATGATCCTCTGAATTAAATATAAAAATGACTCTTTATTGCACTGAAGGGAGAAAAGAAGATTAACATTGTCAGTTATAGCTGAGGACAGGATCTCTGATTTTCAGAGGTGAGGGGAAAAAAAAACCCTATGAAGTAGCAAGCACTTTTGTAATTTTACAAATAGTGTATCAAAATATATACTTTCCCCTTCCATTGCTTTCTTCACCAGAAAATGGACTCTAGGTGGAACACTTTCCTCCACCTATTAGATTTCTCCTAACAGTTGTAATACAAAGAACGGAAAAGTAGTACAGCTCTTCTCATATCCCACCCTTTTAACACTTAAAAATGCAAAATATAAATATCCTAGACTACAGTGTTGAAGATCAAAGAAGCTATAAGAAAACAGATAAAACCTTTCTCTGGATTTCATCAAAGGACATTGAACCGAGAGAATATATACTAACATATTTTTTAAAAAAATTGCTTGAAATGACATTCATTACAAATGCCTTTTAAGCATGCAAAAGTCACTCTTTTGTTGAGGGTTTCCAAGTGTTAAGCCTTACTTTTTTGTTTCCCCTTTGCCAGAGTTGTGGCTTTCTTTCTTTCTTTCTTTCTTTCTTTCTTTCTTTCTTTCTTTCTTTCTTTCTTTCTTTCTTTCTTTCTTTCTTTCTTTCTTTCTTTCTTTCTTTCTTTCTTTCTTTCGTCAGTCAGAATGAATTACGGCTTTCACTTTAACCCTGCTATTTTACCTGATAAGCTTTAATCCTAGAAAGAATTTGAGCTTTCTAGGAAGGCAACGAAAAGTCAAACCCCAGCTTTTGCCTTTTGGGTGGTTTTTTGGGGGGGGGAGAGGGAATGGAAAATTTCACTGATAAAGTTATTTACAGATATAACTTTCCATATCGTATTGGCACTGTTTCAATCTTTCAGCTACTTTCTAGTTTTGATCCAGTATTATTCATCTTCATGATCACATGTGAGAATATTTTAGGCATTAGGTATTCTTGGCTAGAAACTAATGTCATCAAAGAATACTCCACAATATAACTAAAGTGAGATATCTGGCAAGCATTTCTATCTTCCCAAAACTTATGTTTTATACTTTAGCTTGCATAGATAATATGCATGTTTGAAAATAATGTTATATTTATATGAACCATTTGGTAGATTCATTTTTCCTACTGTTTAGGTCAAATTCTCCTTATTGGAATTACAATATTCTAATCCTGCAGAAAATGAAGATATATCTGGCTATTTTTAAAATCTTGGCTTTTTTTCCCTTTCCTTCTAAATCTTTTTCAGTGGAATTACAAATGTCGTCTTCTGGTACTGAAACTATATTTGTTTTTTTATATTTATTTATTTATTTATTTATTTATTATATTTATATTTTCTTTTATATTTATATTTATTTACATACTCTGTAGTTGTTGTCATTAATAAATATGAAGTGTGATGTATTTAATAGTGCATAAAATCAGACTCAATGTGTAGCTCCAGGGATAATAGAATAATTAGGACTGTGGGCTGCAAAAAGATTGCAGGAAAGTTATATTTTATATATTTCTTTGCTGCCATCTTAAGATCTTCTGATGCTTTTTAGCCAAGATAGATAAACTGTAAGGAAAGTAAGTTAACTGAGATCTTTATTGCAAAGGAAATGTGAGATCTGAACACTATAATGAATAATTGCTGGTTTTAATCAAGTTTGCTGTTTCAAATTTCAAGATAATGTATTATAAAATTTATAATCCCTACTGGTATAACTTTAAAGACTACAATCTTCTGCTCCATTTTCATTGGTCTAGTTCCTCCTAACTTATAAATACTTCTACTGTTTGCTGGAAGGGCTGTGGTTTTGCTAAGGACTTAAGATTACTGGTCATTGGCAAGAACCTTTTTTTTGGCTGTGGTTTATTCTCTAAGCTTGTTTTAATATAATTTCTGAACATTTCGTTACCAAACTAGGTTACATCATCAGCAGGATTTTCTTGTCCTATTCTCCTTACCTTATAAGTGTCTTGTGTGCCAGTGAGGTCAGTTAGTCGTGCAGTTATTTATTTGTTTGGAGCAGTGGTTCTCAACCTGTGGGTCGCGACCCCATTTGTGGTCGAACGACCATTTCATGGGGGTTGCCAAACAATGCAGTCCACCATTTTTTCCCCTTTTCCTTAGCTGTGCTACTCCCTTTTATTCTATTGGCTTTTGAAAGCCAATAGAATAGACTCTCTTGAATAGAGTCTAATTCTATTGGCTTTCAAAAGCCAATAGGAATTGTCCAGGCTGTCTCTGCCCTGCTGAGCCCGCCAAAAGCCCCAGTCTGCAAATGGTGCTGCAAGTTGTCTGCAGCGAAGGCAAGCTGTCTGGAAGCTTCCACCCCTCCCTGCTGACCAACTACTAAAAATATAAGTAAAAAAGGGCCAGGGGTGGGAGGTCAGCGGGCGCAGGGAGGGTTGCTGGTGCACGTGGGGCCCGGCGGGTGCCTTACCTCCCTTGGGCTGGGCCAGCTGGTGGCCCAGCCGGTGATCGCCCTGCGCCATCGCTGCCCCTTGCCAGCTACGCCTTGGCCGGCGCAGGGGGCAGCACCACACATGCGTGGCACTCCCGGGCAGGGAAAGTCCTCGACTTATGACTGGTTGGGTAGTCCTCGACTTACGACTGGTTGGGTAGTCCTCAACTTACGACCAACTGGGTAGTCCTCGACTTACGACCAGTTGGGGTCACGGCATTAAAAAGGTTGAGAATCACTGGTTTGGAGCTATATTTGAATTTTGAGCAGCTGATTGGTTGTCTTGTTGATTGGCATTTTGAATAATCTGGTTTCTTACATGTTGGATCTAGATCAATATGCTTGTATATTGCTCCTTTTCCATAATGAAAAGAAACCAGACCGTTCGAAGTACCAATCATTTTAGCCATCATCTATCCAGAAAGAAGGCCTCTTGCATATGTTTTCAACCTTTAAGCCAGGGGTAGGCAACTTTGGCTCTTTTATGACTCGTGGACTTCAACTCCCAGAATTCCTGAGCCAGCCATGAAGTTGAAGTCCACAAGTCATAAAAGAGCCAAGGCTGCCTATCCCTGCTTTGAGCTTTCTTTTGCCAATTGGCCAGCAATACTTGCTGATGTCATTGATCCATCTTGTTTTAGATCTCTTTTGTGGATGCTTTTTATCAAGTTGTATCCATTCCGTAATGTTCATCTCTTCCAGTAGATAACTTCTCTTCAAATCTTTAAAGTTTCTAGAAAAGCCTATTTTATTTAATAGTATATTTACCATTTATCTCCACAAGATCCCTTTGTTCCTGGTTTTATTCACTTCCTTGGATGAAAAATTATTTGATCATGTTCAATAGAAAAATGCCTTTGAATGTCTAATATGTGGAGTTATGATGAATAGTGGCAGAAATGGATTATTCTCCTTGTGAATACCAAATAATGCAATATAGTTCCACCTATTGTCAAATTGCAACATTGAATCTAGTGCTGCTAGAGTCATTTCTTCAGGATGTTTTCTGTCCAGTGACTAGAAGCTTCAAATGTACTCATCCATCTTCTTGTCTCATTAAATGTGACTGATATTCTGCACCTATTAAATTGATGGGAAAGAACAAAAGGAAGAAAAATGTGCCCTCTACTTGATCCTATATCTTAAAGGAGCAAATTTCTACTGGAATTACCAGAGGAGCAGCAGTTCCAACTTCTTTAAATAGTCATCCATACTGATCAATTATAGCTAATTATAATATACTTGTATATTGCTGAATTTGTACCTTATGAATTTGTACCTTATGTTTTATTCTATAATATCAGCCTTTTCTTGTGATACAATAGGAGTCCTCAAAGCATATCTAACAGTTCTCACATATCTCAAAGTGTTATTATTTTATTACTTTTCTTCTTTATTTAGATGCACAATACAGAATGATATATAACATATGAGATACAAAGTCTGTACCTT